TTGGAAAGCGCTCAATATTAATGATAGAGCTAACATATTTAGTTCCAACTATATATTTATATATATATATATATATATATATATATATAAGCGGAGGCAAAATCTGCCAAATTTTAGTGTCTTCCCATTCTACCAGTGCGACTACAGAACCACTGAACAAAGGCGGCTTAATAAGGAAACATGAACAAGTTGAAACCCATACTTAATCCATTGCATAAATAGATTCAACCAAATTCCCCTGACCATAAACGACATATATAGCCAGTTACGCCCCTTGATTTTCATTTTTTTTTCATTGGTACAAAACATAAGCATCAACACGTGGAGATAGAAACAGTTAAAAACTTTTTGAAAAGTTAAGCGAAACCAGTTAAATTAAAAAAGTTTAAAAAAAGGAAAAAGAAATCCACTTGAAAGTAACAAAGTTTTAATTCTTCTCCGTAAAAATTCATATATTATAAATTAATATCCCTATATTAAATATTAGGTGCCTTTTTTTCCGATCGTCATTTTAGTTTATACAGTAAGTTTTTGTACAGAATCTTTCTAACAACATTATTTTTACACACACACGTATATATATAGATATGTGGGGGGGGTCATTGAATAATATATACATATTGTGTCTATTTTTATACTGATCCGTTCCAATTCTCTAATCAGTTTCTTGATGTTAAGATCAAATTCGTCAAGGATGGCAAGCGTTTTTAAAACTCACCATCACAACGGAATGTAGATTTTATCACATTTACAATAAGTTTGTCTTTCTAATTTACCCCTGAAGTTGATCTTGAAAAATATCGAAATTACTTGAGTTAGAGAAAACTACAGCGCCTTCCTTGATGAATTTCATCTTAACATAAAGAAACTGATTACAGAAAGGGAAAGGATCAGTATAAAAATAAATAGACACAATATGTCTATATTATTCAATGAAACATATTTGAATAAATATATGCTGCCTATATACAACCACAAAAATAGATGACATTATTAACAACGACAACAAAAGACTGTAAACTGAATAAAAACAGGGATATACTACTCTCCAAAACAATTCATCCAATCTTAACAATATGAAAATAATTACAACCACATCCAAAACTATTATAGATATGATCAGGACCCAAAATATCCATAAAAATAATAATTCAGAAGTACGTATATATAAAATAAAATAAGCTGCCAGAACTGCTCTTCATAATACATTGGAGAAACTTGCAGAAATAAAATGAAAACATCTATGAACACAAAAATGCATTAGTCATACATAGAAATAAATTCAACCATAACTTTGATCTAAAGAATGCCACACTTATTTTGACGGAAAATTATTGAGAGTGCTACGATCGAATCTTATCAAAATATAAATCCGCGTTCCCGATTTTTTGTTCAAATAATTCCATTTCTAAAAGAATTGCCTATATCCCAGGCCAACATACATGGTTATAAAAATGTTTAAAATTATAAGAAAACGGTTACATTCATAACCTTTTACTATTTAAAAGATTTAATACATAAATTGTCCACAAACTTGTTGCAAAATAAAATCCTTGCATTTGCTTTGATAAAGATCATCAAAGGACGAAACGCATTGGATAAGATAAGTTTTCCTTTTGTCTTTATTAATATATATATATATATATATATATATATATATATATATATATATATATATATCAAGAACAGTTTTAGGGAAAATCGATGACAAATTGGAAAAGCTTTCGTGTGAAAAGGGACTTCATTGCTTCATTGGACTGAAAGGATGTTTACACATGAAAAAGGAACGAAGATGCCGAGAATTTTAAATTAATTTTTTTTTTTTCAAAATATAAGTTTTGGGTATATAGTCTAATCGATTTCATTTAGTTTCTTTTTTTTTTTTTTTGTTCATGTCCCACATTAGGATAACAGAAGGTCTGCCAAGAAAAATGAAATGTAAGATCCTGGATGTAAATTTACTGTGGGTGATCTACTAACGATTAAAGCACTTTCTATAGATTTCCATCTTAGTAAAGTAATTTCTCCTTAAACAAAGTAGCATATTTTAAATAAAAAACTATGGTCACACTCATTACGGTGAGCAACTAATGCGTTACTGTGTTCTTTCTGCTGTTGTGTTGTTCTATTATTACAATGTGGGATATTTAGTTAAATTAAATCCATCTTGTTTAAATGAATTTTGGCTCTCTAAATATTGCATTATTTCTTTCTTTCTTTCTTTCTTTCTTTCTTTCTCACACACACAATCATTCTATCTTTCTCTCTCTCTCTCACACACACACACACATATCTATCTATCTATCTATCTATCTATATATATATATATATATATATATATATATATATATATATATATATAAACCTTTACTTTTTTTTATAAATTCTAGTCTTTCAAATTAATTATTATCTGAATATTTATTTCATTATACCAGTTCTTTCTTTCTTTCTTTCTTTTTTGTTTGTTTCTTTCTTTCAAATTTATTATTATTTGAATGTTTCTTTTTTATTATCCCAGTTGTTTGCTTGTTTGTTTGTTTCTTTCTTTTTGTTTCTTTCAAATTTATTATTATCTGAATATTTTTTATTATACCTTGTCCTTTCTTTCTTTCTTTCTTTCTTTCTTTCTTTCTTTCTTTCTTTCTTTCTTTCTTTCTTTCAAATGAATTATTATCTGAATATTTCTTTCTTTTCATAATCCCAGTTCTTTCTTTCTTTCTTTCTTTCTTTCTTTCTTTCTTTCTTTCTTTCTTTCAAATTAATTATCATCAGAATATTTCTTTTTATTATTTCATTTTTCTTTCTTTCTTTCTTTCTTTCTTTCTTTCAAATGAATTATTATCTGAATATTTCTTTCTTTTCATAATCCCAGTTCTTTCTTTCTTTCTTTCTTTCTTTCTTTCTTTCTTTCAAATTAATTATCATCAGAATATTTCTTTTTATTATCTCATTTCTTCCTTCCTTCCGTCCTCCCTTTCTTTCTTTCTTTCTTTCTTTCTTTCTTTCTTTCTTTCTTTCTTTCTTTCTTTCTTTCAGCCGATTTTTATCAAAGCGTATATCTTCAACATCGATGTTTTGTACGTGACCATTTTATCATGCATTTCTTTCTCTCTCATTTTCTTATGTTGTGTTTCTTCCACCTCTCCAATTCCCATCCCACTCCCATCAGCCACACTTACTTCCTTTAAAGTCCTTCTTTGTTTCTGTCTTTTTTTTTTTTTACTAAATATTTCCGTACATTATTTCCATTGTACGACAAACATCTCTTATTTCTCGGGTACCATTTTTTTTTTTTTCATTATTATTTGTCTTTTCTCTTACGTGGGGAATTTTTCAATTCTCCATTTTGTTTGATCCTTTAGGTTTTGTTGTTGCGTCTTCCCATTACATCTCTGTATTTTTCATTTCTGAAGTATTATTCTTGTTCGCTCATCACGGATAAGCTCTATGATGTGTGTTTTTATAGCATCACCCGTCTTCCCCGAATAGATAAATATGTAAGTAATCATTCTTTGTAGTTAGTGTTATATATTCACACACACAAACAACTGCACACACACACATTTATCTATTTCTGCCTAACAGAACGTCTTCATTGCGAAAATGTTTCAATAAATATGAAGGATATGGATAGATAACTGAAGATGGCAGGAAAGTGAAACAGCCGAAACTATGACAACCAAGACAGGGTATAATAATAATTCCCCGTTTGAGAACTTCAAACGGAATGGTTTTCAGTTCATATCTCTCTATCTCAGTATGTATCTATTATCTATCTATCTATCTATCTATCTATCTATCTATCTATCTATCTATATCTGTTCATATCTCTATCTATCTATCATTATCTATCTATCTATCTATCTATCTATTCATCTATCTATCTATCTATCTATCTCATCTATCTATCTTGTTTATCTATCTATCTATCTATCTATCTATCTATCTATCTATCTATCTATCTCTGTTCATATCTCTCTCTCTCTATCTCAGAATGTTCATTATCTATCTATCTATCTATCTATCTATCTATCTATCTATCTATATCTATCTATCTATGCATAATTACTTGTTTTTGTAATAAAAGTCCTCTTTATCGTTGTCTACTAAATTCTCATTTGATGTTCCATCCAAAATTGTCTTTTATTAGAAAGTTCAACGTATTAATAAGCAGTTTATTTTCTTTTTATTACCCATTCCGGTCGATTGAGCTTTTCATGGATTTGTCTGCTAATGGCCACAATATATCGGCGTTTTAGGAAGCCCGAACTCACTGCAGAAGAAATGATTTGTGAAACTAATTTCATAACAATAATTTTCCAGTCGCACCTATATTTGCCCAGGGTCACAGTATATAGAGCTCATCTCACTATTGATAATTTGGGTAAAAGCTATAATCATTACTCTTGTCTTGTTTATAGGATTATCATTGGAGAGTGGTTTACCCAACTGATTACTCACTCATTCTCTTCTCCGTTAAACAATGTGGCATGCTAGATATAAAACATTTTTATTCTGTTCATATGTATGTATGTATGGATGGTCTATATGGGCGCGTGGTTAGAACGTTCGCTTTCTGACCATGAGACCCTGGTTCGAATCGCACCACGGTTGATTTGTCAGAAAGGAGAATTCCTGATGTTATCAGTCTTGAAAGGAGCCATCCTAGCGCGCCTCATATTTGGAAAGTGCCTGAAAACTATACCACGAATTGACCCAAGCCTTGTAAGTGAAATTGTGTAGACGGAGCCCTTGAGAGCCGTCGATAGCTGTTCTAGCATGAAGTCACAAGTCATCGTGACCGAGGTTTTGAGTGAGCTGGCATTGTTCAGATTGTTGATCACGCTAGGTAACATGCTCCCAGAACCTAATGTCTTTTCAGCATAGTTGCAGTATAAACCACAAGTGGGCTCTGTTTGTTGAACGAGCGTGGATTGGCTAGTCGACCTAATAGATGGGTATCTTCGAATATGAGTGGCCACCTATGTATGTATGTATGTATGTATCTATCTATCTATCTATCTATCTATCTATCTATCTATCTCAGTCTGTTCATATCTGTCTATCTATCTATCTATCTATCTATAGAAATTGTAGAGGCACGTCGAGAAGCAAGGAATTACACACACACACACACGCAAACACACGCCCACACGTACACACCCATACACACAATGTTGGTTCTCTGTATCGCGCCTGAGTCCATCCTTCAAATGTGTAAATCAACCATTCGGCCTTGCATGGAATACTGCTGCCATATATGGTCTGGAGCCCCAGCTGTTCGTCTCAAGCTCCTCGTCAAAATCCAGAGACGGATGTGGTTGGTCCTGGTCTGACATCTCGCCTACGGTCACTTTCTCACAGACATGCCGTCGCTTCCCTCCGTCTTTTCTACAAATACTTTCACGGTAACTGCTCCGCCGAGCTATTTTCTCTGGTTCGCAAACTCCATGAATTTAAGCGTGCTACTAGGTTGGCATCTCAGTCCCACCCTTTCATTGTCGAAACGGTTAAATCTAGCCGTCTCTTCTACTCCAATAGCTTCATGCCTCACACTTCCCGTCTGTCGAACTCCCTTCCTCTTACTTGCTTCCCTGACAGATATAGACTTTTAATATTCAAATGTAATGTCAATTGACATCTTCTGATGCCTTGATCTAATTCCCCGTACTTCTCTTTATCCTTTCCTCAATCACGTCTCTTTATTCTTGCCCCCACTCTCTGTAAAAATAAATAAATAAAGAATCTTAAGGAAATACGGGAAAAGGTTTCAGGTAAAATAAAACGTGAAGTAAGAAAGGAAACAATATATTTTGACTAAAGTTCATTACCAGAATATTTGAATAGGAAACAATCCTACCAATTAAATGTCGACCAAAGCGAGCGGGGTTCTAAAGAAGCTGAACATTGCTAGCCCCACCGTCACTAACACAGAAACAAATCTGAATTTACGGAATGGATACTTCGTTATGAATGCTTAGAAAATTAGCTAAATGAATTGAGATGAGAGAATCCAAACAGTCTTGTGTACAGGAGGGAGTTCGAGTGTTGAATAACGGTGGGAAGAAAGAGTAATGGATTGGTAAATGGAATGAATTGAGGAGAGTACTAATGTAATATTCTATGTTCGATTCTGTCTGCTGAAGTCTATTGAGAATAATCATTGAAAGACTTCATCTTTCTTTCTCTTTTTTTTTTGCTTCGTTCATTCAAACATAAATTTCAGTTTTCATTTGTATTTAACATATTTTTTTATGTTTTTCTCTTTTCTAACTTGCAAATCTTGTTTTGCTTTTCAAAATCTTTGCAATGTTTGCACCTAATAATTATCTCCCTTACTTTTATATTTGCAATATTTTATTTAATTTTCTAGTTTGATTCTTTCTGTCTGTTTTTTTTTTTTTTTAATTCAATTAACTTCGAAGCGGCACTCGTTTTCGGTTCATTTCGAATTCAATTCTCTCTTTCTCATTTCGAGTTCATTTCTCTCTTTCTTTCTTTTAGTAGCTTCAAGGATTTTTTCTAATCATCTTTTCCTTCTTTCTTTTTTTTCTTTCTTTCTTTTAAGTTTAAGGATAATTTTTTTTCGTTATTTTCCTTTTCTTTCTGTCTATTACTAACTTTTTTTTTCTTTCTAATCGTCTTTTTTCTCTTTTTCTCTCCTTTATTTCTTTTACTAAACTTAAGTAATTTTTCTTGCTAATTGTCATTTTCCTATTTCTTTCTTTCTTTCTTTCTTCAGTTTACTACTTTTCAAGGTTTTCCTTTTAATTATAATTTTCCTCTTCTTTCTTCCTTTCTTTCTTTCTTTCTTCAGTTTACTACTTTTCAAGGTTTTCCTTTTAATTATAATTTTCCTCTTCTTTCTTCCTTTCTTTCTTTCTTCCTTTCTTTCTTTCTTTCTTTCTTTCTTCAGTTTACTACCTTTCAAGGTTTTCCTTTTAATTATCACTTTCCTCTTCTTTCTTCCTTTCTTTCTTTCTTTCTTTCTTTCTTTCTTTCTTTCTTTCTTTCTTTCTTCAGTTTACTACCTTTCAAGGTTTTCCTTTTAATTATCACTTTCCTCTTCTTTCTTTCTTTCTTTCTTTCTTTCTTTCTTTCTTTCTTTCTTTCTTTCTTCAGTTTACTACTTTTCAAGGTTTTTCCTTTTTATTATTCCTTTTCTTTCTTTCTTTCTTTCTTTCTTTCTTTCTTTCTTTCTTTCTTTCTTTCTTTCTTTCTTTCTTTCTTCAGTTTACTACCTTTCAAGGTTTTCCTTTTAATTATAATTTTCCTCTTCTTTCTTTCTTTCTTTCTTTCTTTCTTTCTTTTAAAATATTCTTTCTTCCACTAAATTTAAATTTTCTTTCTTTAAATATCCTTTCTTCTTTACTTTTTCTTTCATTCTCTGTTCCATTTACTATATTTCTATATTTCTTTCTTTCTTTCGCCATTATGTTTCTTTCTGAATTCACTAAAAATAATATTCATTTTCTGGTATTTTCTAAGGACGTTTAATCT